AATGTACTACTATTTTTTGAATTAATAAAACTACTCTCATTTATCAAAAAAAAATGAAATCAGTTAACTTTTCACAAAAAAAAAATAAAAGAAAAAGGGGCCACCATAGCTTAGATGTCTTTTAATGCATTACATTCATTTGTAGTTATCATTTGTCTAGGTCGGATAAAAGTGAGGCCACCACAGTTTTGATTTCTTTTAATGCATTGCATTTATTTTTAATGATTTGAATTCCTGGACGTGGCTGTCTGCACTGTCAGGATCCCTGAATGGAGAAACAAATTCAATAAGGAGGGAAGAGATTATGAAGCAGTGATGAAGAGAAATGAAAGAGGTTGGTTTATTGCTTTCACAGAAAAATCGACAGATTTAAGAATGAGGTGTATCTGTGTTCCAATGGGATCCCAGAGAAAGGGTTGGGTTTCGATTGCAGAGACATTTCAGGAGTATCTTTGGAGGAAGGAAAAATCAAAGATCGAAGGGGAAGGCCTGAATAGAATGATTTCTAAAGGATACGAAGCTGAAGAGGAGATCGACAAGTTCTCATTGGTGGCAAGATTGACAAGGGTACCAAAGATAGTTACGAGTGATGAAAAGGAGAGCTGGAAGAAAAAATCTGATATTAACAGCCGCAGAGGAGGTTGGGGACTGGAAACCGATTATGGAGATTCTTGGGACCAAATTAAACACTCATACCAGGAAAGCAATCGTCGAACTTGAGGAAGACTTAGTCGAGTTGCAGACCTTAGAAACAATTGCGGGTCCAGTATCTGTGGAGCATTGGTTCCCAAATTGTAACGGAAAACATATCACGATCGATACTGTTACGCTGAAGCTGGTGGGCCTTCCTTTCAATCTCTGGGTGGTAAGAACCCCAACAGTGGTGGAATCCTAAGGTCCTTTAGTAACTCGCAGGATAATCCCAGCAAGTCTTCATCTAAAATTAGCACTGACAATTCGAGTTTGATGCAAAGGAAGATGGGAGATGCTGAATGTTTAAGAGATCGAGCCAAAAGCTCGGGAAACCCTTTGCGTTCACAAGATGAGGCTTACAGGGGCTCAGAGCATGCGATCTCAGGGGACAACATCTCAGGTTCTGTAGTCGCAACTCCATCGGCTACCCCTGTTCAGGGCTGTCCTTTGAAGATTTCTTACCGCCCGAAAGAAATAATATTGAAGAAAACACAAGCCCACAACACTGAGGAATACAAAAGTAGGGTGAAAATTTGGTCCAAGAGAAGGAAGGGAGACAAGAGAAAGCTTCCTGGGCTTAGCAGACCAAATTTTAAAAAGAGTGGTCTAACAGGAAGTAGATTTTCGAACAAGGCCAAAGAAAAAAAAAAGTTGAAAGAGTGGATTCGGGTGATAGCCAATTTTGATGAAAATGGTAAGAAGAGGATCATACGTGGAAAAGGAAAGACTTTCGACAACTACCCATGTTTGCCTTTGACTAGTGATGTCAAGCAGTTCCCTCAGATCAGTAAGGAGATTGACGGGATTCGTGGTTTCTCCAAGCCAGAAGTTGTAGCTGAATTGACCCTAGAGGATAGATATGAATTGAATTTTCCTGTCTCTGCAGAATCAGAGAGGTGGAAAGGGTTGGAGGAGACAGTTCGGAAAAGATATGATAGGGTTGAAACAGAACTGGAGAATGAAGGTGAGGATACAGCAAAGGAAAAGTCTGGTGCTGAAGAATTACCTGAAGAACAGGGTGAAAACCTTGTACAGGATAAATTACCTTTTAAGGAGGTTATGGTTGGAAGGATGGGCATTGATTTGGGTAGAGGGAGCAATTTCCAGGAGGAGGAACAGACTTTTGAAATGACCAATAAGAAGCCACGTAATGGGAGAAACCATAACATTGTTCATGTGACAGAGATTTTTTCAAGGCTAAAACTCGGCCTGGCAGGGGCAAGACTGACAAAAAAAATACAAATGGGTGTACAAGAGGAAAGGAGTAAGAGGCAATGGGACATCTTGTACAGTTCATAGGGAGGTAACAAAGCAAAGTCAGTCTTTGGTCCCCCCACAGACGAAGGAACAGCAGTAAAGGGAGATAAGAGGGGTCGAGCCTGATCCTGGTGTGAACAAGTTGTCGCAAAGTAATGTTATTATTGATGGAGAGTCAGATGTCGTAGCTCTCCAGGGACTAGTGGGGAGAGAGGCTGCAATTGAGAGAACAGAAGAAGAAAAACAAGGACAAGGAGAAGCTTCAAAGACTGGGGACAAGATTAGAGAGAGAGAAAGAGCAGAGCAGATTCACAAGGATCAAGAAGTCAAGGATTTAGTATAAAATGGGAAGGTGAATATTAAAAAATTGGTGGAGAGAGAGGTTGAGATAGGAAAGTCTCTAGGTTTAGTTTTTTGGGGAGGGGAAGGCTTTGCAAAAATAGCCTTTGAGATGTTTGAAAAAAAAAAGAAAATAAAAGAAAAAAAGAAAAAGGAAGAGTATTTAGAAAAAGTCTGGACGAGATTGAGTGATCTTGGGACTGGTGGGAAGATAGGGAGATGGGGAGGAAGATGGGGCTCCTTACAAAATATCACGACTGGGTATAAGAGAAGGAAGGAGGGAGGAGAATGGGTGGAGCGTTGAATATTCGATAGGAGGATTGGGCAATCTGGGCAAGACTCCAAAGATGACCCCATTGAAAATTTCTGGAACTTCCTTGATTTTTAGCCTTGTAATGCAGAATCATTATTCATTTTTAAGCTTTGAGAATGTATTTGGTATGTCATCTAGACACCCAAGGGTGATAGGATGTAATCTTTTCTTTTTAATGAAATTTTTACTTGATTTTTCAAAAAAAAAAAAAAAAAAACAAGGTCTCAGCTCTTAGTCAAGTCCCTTCTTTGATTAGGCCTGTGTAGCCCAAAAAAAGTGTTACCTGAAACATCCTCAAAAGTAACACCCACACCTTAAGGCCCTTTTTTTTATTCATGGTGCTACACAACGGGGTGGCTCATCCCCCAAACCCATAATCTTCCTAGACCCTGGTGAAGGCAGGATTCGATCCCAACACCTTAACGCTCCAGGTTTCCAAACAAGCAGCCATCAAAACTTTAGATTTATTTGACCTTCCTCTAGCAGCACCCATCCTTGCTATGATTTTCTTCTTTATAAAACATAACCAGCCATCACTTGACAGAATCCTCTTAAGGATAGAATCCATGGATACTCTTTCATTCTTCATGCAGATCTATTGAATAACTCTCATTATAAATTTATAACTACATGTCTTGATCAAAATATTGTGACCTTGCTAGTTTCTTGAGCTTCTCTCTTTCCACACACACACACACCACAAAGTGATTGAACTTGTGCAGAAACTCTATAACTAAAGCTTCAAAAAAAGTTGGGAGGGGGACCAAGGACCCCCCACAGTATAATGTAGCTCCACCCCTGGTTGGGATAAGGCTTAGATGATGATGATGACTTCGGAAGGTTATATCATTGGGCAACAAAATCAAGGACAGTATAGTCCAATATATTTGATATTAAAAGACAAGAAAGGAATAGATGGTTGGCATTTTCACGACCTGTTAAGCATGGGAACCACACACGAGGTAAGAGATTCCAAGGTATTTATCACCATTAAAGCATGTCACAATTATTGAGTATCTTCAAAGTGGCTTCTCAACAAAAAGTGTTGATCTTTGGTGGAGCACGATTGTCCCACAAAGCATTAAAGGGAGAAGGTTAGGGGCAGAATGAGAAACATCAATGATTTGAAGAAGAACAAGAAAAACAACCCAAGGCATCAAGACCAAACTAAATCTTCTTAGATGGATGTACTGATGGATCATTTGATTGGCAAAAGGATCTAGATAAGGAGTTGTATAAAAACGATGTACTCACTTCAGAAACTGGGGCATTTTCCTAGTGAAAGAAACTGTGCAAATGATGGTGTCCTGTCATAACAGTCAACCTGCACCTTTTCCTTGGATAAGTAACAGATCAAAGAGAAACTTTATTTAGCAAAAAATATCGAGCAATTACACAGAAAAAAAGGACAGAAAAAGATTGGGAAAAAACTCGCGCAGCTAGAAACCATCAAGCGCCAAAACTATTACATTTACCTGCCTCCCACATCAGAACTCAGGACCAGTATATTAAGCCTATTAGTCCATTCCATAATTAGGGAATAAGCACGAGAGTTAGCAATAGTTAGGGAATAAGCAAGAGAATTAGCATCAGTAGGTATTCAACCAATCAAGAGGTTCAATCTAGATACCAACAACCTAGCTTCTCTTATGCTCAGTTTGGAAGGAGTACAAATGCAAATATGTACAGTGCAAATATATATAAAATAATATAAAATACAAGGTTTTGCACTCTACATATTTGTACTTGTACTCCTTCCAAACTGAGACTGATGTGGTGAAGATGAACCCAAGGAGCATATCCGTTACCCTTGAATCATCCTATTAAAATTTGCAAGTCTCCTATTTCCAAAATATTCATAGACCATCTATTGCAATACCAGCCAGTCACCATGATATAAAGCACGAAGATCAAGAAAGCTAGCCAACAAAGCTGTTCAACTGAGAGCTAATTGCATATGCAATCGGTTTACTTGTATTAAGATCCAACACAATAAAATCCCTCCCCTCGTCACCTTGTTTGTACAAAGTCCAATATCTCCTATATCCAAGTTCCCTAGGACTCCACATCCAAAACTAATTCCATTTGTCATGTATTTCTCTATGGAATTATTCACTTTATCTCGTTTCCATCAATAGAGTAAAAAAAACTTATATGGTTACAGTGGCAGTTGCAACTCAAAGAGATTATAATACAATTCATATTTAAACCAAATGAAGGATCATTTTTTATGAACAACCAAGCAGAAGAACAAAACTGTAAAGCAAATACCATTATAACCATCATGAATAACATGACAAAATGACTTAGTGCTTTCCACGATTTACTGCACTCCAGTTAAATTATTCAACAAGTACAATAAATGAACAAGATAAACTGGTTATCAAAAAGTACATACCTGTTCAATGTTATCATTGTAGTATATATCATCCCCACCATTAAGCAATGCAAAGTCCCCAATCTCACCCTGTGGAACCAACATATTCTCATTATCATCCCACTCCTCCTCAATAAATGGCGCCCCGTACTGCTCTCCATTCTTGGGCCCTGAACCGCTCTTCTGAAAAATTCTACATAGCACATATGCATCCTACACAGCAAAAACAATTCAATCAATCAATTTCCACAAAACAAGAAAATCCAACAAGGATAAAAGGACAGACAGACAGACAGATAGACATAATCATCCAGTCTTTGTAGCCTGTAAAAGTCCGATTACTAACTTACCTGTTGAACTCCCGCTCGCTCCAATTCTTCGTCAACGAGTCTGTACTCATGCATGACCCAATTGGTCCGCTCTCCACGAGGAGCCCGCCCAATATGGTAAACAAGGGTCTTTTTCATCCCGACCGTCCGGTTATTCCGTCGGACAGGTCGGTCTTTACCGGTGGTCTTCCAATACCCCTGGTCCGTCGCGCGATTCGTCCTTGACCCATTACCATATTTCTTATCGAGGGCACCAAAGAAGTACCATTGCAGGTCTCTGGTCTTCAGCTTCGACAGACCTAAAGAATCAAAGAAATCAGCAGAAAGACAATAAAATGAAAAAAAAAAAGACCATTAAAGAATAGATTGGAAGGCGATATGTAAAAGAAGTAGCAAACCTGGAAGATCCCAAGGCTCGGATTTGTAAACATCGATTTCGGAGATGGCGTCGAAGCGAAAGGGCTTTCCCAATACCTTGCGCTTCAGGTAGTAACTCACGAGTTCTTCGTCGGTAGGGTGGAATCGGAAACCAGGAGCGAGTGCTGCTTCGCCTCCCATCGGAGAAAATCAATCTCTTAGGTGCAGAAAGAGAAGGTTAATTTCCGAAGAATTGGAAATTGGGGGAACTGGGGGAATTGAGGGAATTGGGGATTCGAAAACAAATACGAAAGGAACTTGAGAGAGAACACAGAGGATTCAATCGATATCGGGTAAATTAAACAAAGCTTCTGTCGTTCTAACGGCGTTGAATCTCAACATGCTCGGAGTCGGAGCTTTCAAGGTAGATAGAAGAATATAAGGGAAGGTGGGGAGCTTCAAAAGGAAACGAAAATGATGTATATGATCAATCTTCTGTTTTTTCTTTCGCTTCTCTGCTCTGATTAGTGGCTACTGAGGTTAGTTCTCTCTCTGTGGCAGGTAAAAGTAAAAGGGTCGATAAATCCATTCATTTATTGTGGGAGTTGGCGATTCGGTGCAGAATTATAAAAAGCGTTGGATTGGCATCTGAAGAGAATAATGACGATCCGTCGGCGGAATGTTCTATCTGATCCGGTCATCCAAATCGATCGTCGGCAGCCGTCGTTACGCGTGGCCAGCTCTCAACTTCTTCTCTTCCTTCCCCATTCTTACGTCTCGTCGTCCGTCAGGTCAGACAATGAGTTCAGACCTGAAGAAACGTGGAGTTTGACGGAAAAGTGAACGAAGAATTCTACGCTACACGACCTTTGAGTCTTACACGTCAGAGCTTAGGTGTTGGCTTAAGGTTTATCAAAGTTACACTTCACGCTGTGCTTATGAGGCATCTGTTAGTCTACGTGGCAGGACCTCAACTGCTTAGATTATTAGGTCAGTGATAGAACCGGAGCTGCCCAGAAATTCGGACGGGTTGGTCGGGATCAGAAATTGGACCGGTTCAGTTCAGTCAATGAAGCGATCTCATGAAAGAATCAGTAAAACTGGATGAACCAAACCAGATGGTTTAACCATGAAACAAGGCAAAACGATGCTGGTCAGTGGTCACTACTCACTACTATAGCCTATAGGGGAGGGCTGCTAATGAATCGAACTCAGTCGGATCCAAATTTGGTTCATTAGTATTCAAATTTGAATCGGATTTTATCCATCGTATTCATATCGGATACGACTTCGGTTATAATCGAATAACAAACCCAAATAGTAGAAACAAATTAACAAAAAATCAAAATAGTATATCCTATTAATAATATGAACTAAAAGTTGCTCAAATGTTGTATTTCATGAATAAAATTAATTGAATAAAATTGGAAGATTTAAATCATCTTTATTAATAAAAACAATATAAATTTTAAATATAATAATATACATGAATATATAGAGAGAGAGAATGTTTTTTTTTATTTCTTTTGAAGGGCTAGAGGGGGTATCTCGTAACCCCAACTCCGGTGCAGATAGGATTTGATCCCAAGTCTCTACTACAATCAATATGAAACTTTACCAATCAGCAGATTGACACATTAGATAGGGGTGGATCCATATTTGATCCAATTATAAATTGATTAAATTTTGATCGTCCTTTGATCAAATTTTGATTCAAATTCAAATAAACAAATATCATTTACAATCGTAGACAATATTTTACCCATGAAATTCTACGGGGTCATTTGATATTCGCTGAAATAATTAAATAAATGATTCATTACCTCATAATGTAATGGCACGTGCTATGCATTTATATAAGTAAGGGTTAGATATAAATTAACGTTATATAATTAAATTTGACTTTTATGACTTACAGTCTTGCACAAAAACCAAATAGTATATATATATATATTGATTTTAGCATGAAACCCTTTATTTTCTTCTATTTTTCCAACTGTGTTATGTTTCATTTTAGTTTAATGTGGAGTTTAGGCTCTAATGAGTAAACCTATGTGTTTATAGCTCAATTAGCCCCTTTTTGTTGATATTTTCTCATCCTTGGTTGGAGTTTCCTTTCTATGATGGAGTTTTAATCTTTTCTACTATTTTAATTTGTTATGGGGTTGAGGTTTTCTTACCTCTTTCTGAATCTCCTTGTGTGTTGGTGGCTTGTGTTTGAATTAGTTATTTTTAGTGCTTTGGTTCCTCTCTTTCTTCCTGTTCATTGCATTTTCATAGTAATGTATATCTTCATTTTTAGTGTTTTGGTGCATGGTTTTAAAACTGGACAGTCGGACCAGAAAAATCGGGAATTGGTTAGGTGATCGGTTCCGTTTTACCCCAGAACCGTTATTTTCCCCAAAACCATTGATTTGGTTAGCAAATCACTGACCTGGGCAATCGAACCATTCAACAGTTTGGCCATTTTTTATTTATTTTTTATTTTTTTAATTTTTTAAATTTTTCATCAGAACAGGTCGTCTGTTCAATTCGAACGATCCGATTGTTTAACCCAAAAACCGGACCCATAACTGATTCGTTGTTCGATTCAACTTTAAAAACCTTGCTTTACTGTTATTTTGCACTACTTTTTGAAGTAGGGATTGTTGTTATTGATTTCTGGTTAGGTAGTGATTTGTTTTGTTGTTCCTTCTTGGTGGGTGCTCGAATCAGCCTCAGTGGTCAATGAACATTTTGTGCCAGAACTGCTATAGGTGTAGCCGGCCCAAGGCAATTTAAGGCTTAAGGAACTTTGTGTGAAGTCTGAAGTCTGAACCATGGCACATGAATTTAATTTTTTTTCATCTGAGGCTAAAGTTCAAGGCTAAGTGTGTCTCTAAAATACCCACACAGGTTAGTAATTCCCCCCAATGGTGTTGGTTGTGGCATGTTGTTGATGTTGTTATGTCTTATAATAAGAGTTAGAGTTATAAAGGGTTTAATATGTTGGTTAATCATTTGCAAGTGGAAGTAAGCAATGGGGGCATTTGGTCAAATCTTAAATTAGATAAGAATTGAATCTCTAAAAGATTGGATAGAATTCTTGTATCAAAAATTTCCCAACTAATTAGTTAAATTAGGTTTTAGGTGGGGCTTTGATCATCAACTGATGTTATTATATCCTGATCCAAAGTAGAGTCAAGAACTAAACTTTTTGATTTTATGAAATGTGGTTGGAATGGAAATTAGAAATTTAGGGGCATGCAGATTTCAAGTAACAAGGATTGGTATGAGATTATACTTGAGAAGTATCTTAAGAGATAGAATTGGAATAATTTTGGAGTTCATTCCAAATTGAAACAAATTGAAGATCATTTGGTGGTTTAAAATTTGATATCTTATTCCAATTCTTGAAAGTCAAAATTACCCAAATTGAGTAGGAAATATTTAGGATTCTTAATAGAATTAAATCATTTTGGGAACAAAAAATCTAGACAATTGTGGCTAAATTGTGGAGATAAAAATACTCTGTCTTTTATTTAGCTACGGTTGCTAGATAGAAGAAAAATAGAATTGAATGGATTAGAATTGAGGAGGAAAATTGGGTTAACTCTCACAGAAGTATAGCTGAGGTGTTTGTCGATTAATAACAAGATTTGTCCTCAAAACAAGGAAATAGGAATTGAAATAAGGCAATCAACTTATTTACTCTTGCCAGATTTTATAGTAATAACCTAATTTTGAATGCTATACCTCTAATTTAAAGAAGTGTAGGGGTTGTTATTAGGGGTGAGCAAAAAAAAAACTGAAAAATTGAACCGATCGAAACCGAATCGAAAAATCAGTTAACCGAATCAGTTGATTCGATTTTAGTTCGGTGATTTTAAAAAACCGAAGGTACCGGTTCGGTTTTGGTTAACCAATTTAAAAAACCGACGGTTAATTGAACCGACCGGTATACATGTTTTTGTATATATTTTTTATATATTTATGTATATTATATTATATGTATTTTATATATTATAAATTAATAAATATGCATTATATATATAAATATATATTTATAATATATTATATATTATTTATTATTTAAAATATAATAGTATATATATTATTATATATTTATAGTAAATATTATAAAGTCAAAAGAACTGAAAAATTGATCAACTGGTTAACCGACTGGTTTTGGTTCGGTTCTGATTATTAGTTTTCCAAAAACTGGTACTACTGGTTCGGCCCAAAGAAAAGGTCCACGGTTCGGTAGCACCCCTAGTTGTTATGAGTCTTAGAAGCCTAAAGGCCCCAAGCTTAATGGTATTCCAACTACTGTATTTCAAAATTTTTGAAATGAATTGAGTTCTTATATTTTTCTACTTGTTTGTGAACTCTTCCAAAATGAGATAATCCTCAAGAGACTGAATCACACTTTTCTTATTCTCATCCACAAGAGTCAAAATCAAGTAAAGGTTCAAAACATTAGCCCTATTATTTTTTATAATGTGATTTATAAAATTCTTGAGAGCAGGTAGTTAATAGGATAAAGGATATTCTTGATAAATGCATCTCACCCTTTCATGTGACTTTTGTGCCTAGTAGGCAATTAGTTAATAATACTCATTGTAAAAAGAAATTGTTCATTATATGAATAAGAAAAAGATAAGTAGGGACCTATGGATCTTAAACTTGACATGTCCAAAGTGTATGATAGGGTTTGTTGGCAATATTTGATGTTTGTCTTTGGAAGCTCTAGGTTTTAATCAAGAATTATGTGAGATGAAACCCCATTTTCTTTTTTAATCGAGAAGGGTTTGCATTTTTAATTTGTCTCTGCTATTTTGTTTTTGTATTTTAAGTAATGAAACCCCAATAAGTTTTTTTTTTTTTCAAATAGAGGTTTGAGCTAATGAGACCCTTTACCTCTTTAACTATTTATCATTGCTATGAAAAGGATTGGCAAGGCTTATTTTGAGATATACAAATTTCTCGATTGATGTTTGCAGATGATATTTTAATTTTAATTTTTAGGAGAACTTTCAAATCTCTACCAAGTATTTAGGTATCCCTCCATCTTGGTGTAAGAATAATAATTTTGTATTAGGGTATGTTGTAGATAAATTTAAGAATAAATTTATTAGAATGGGCCTTGAAACACTTAGGCTTTGGGTGGGCCTTGAAAAAGCTTGAGCTTGAATCTTAGAATATAAGGTATGTGTGCCAATGTTGTTGCACGTAGAATAATCTAGTAAGGGTTCCGATTAACATGGTTGAAAATCACTTCAATATTACAAGCACCCCAAAGCTGCCACAAGATGGCTACTAGTAAGGATTCATCTGCATTTCACCTACAAAGTAGAGATGAATCCAAGACCGAAGCCATTCGGTAAACTTCCTGGGCGATGAAGGTAAATTCGAATTACCACATTAGCTTTGAACTAGACTAGTTTCACAAGAGGGCATAGAAGAAATAAGTTATCTACCAAAATAATGCAATTATTTTTCTGTTTCATTTTTTAGTATTCCTCCTATTCTTGACAAGCTCGGATTTCTCAAATCAAATTGAGTCGAGAAACAACATTAGATAGGCCAAAGCTTGCAAGCTAACACCTAAATTTGAGCTATAACTTCATTCAGTACTTACTTTATACCATCCTTGATCCAAAAAGCTCTTGAAAAAAAAAAGAAGGTCAACTGATTGCTTACAATGGGCAATCACACCAATCTGTCAACATTCTATTGAGTTTGTCTACAAAATCTTCACCATCTCCTTCACTTGCCTATGAAAGAACTAAGAGGTTCAGTAAGAGAAATGATGGCATCATTACAGACAACTTGCTAACCTTTCAAACTTTCCATAGTAAAATAAGGGTCTCTTTGGTTCACAGTTGAAATTGGATTTAGAATTGCCTATTCCCCCGCTTGTTCGGTCTAGATGGGAATTGGAATTGGATTTCATAACATATGCATGACTCCCAAAGGGGGTTGGCATTAAGTAAAGAGAAATAAGGTTTGGAGGGTTTTAAGTCATTTGTCTTTTTTTTTTTCTTTTCTTTTTTGTCGATTGGAATGAGATTTTTATTTCCAAGGGGGGAGGTCGGAATGGCCATTCCCTCAAATGGGGGAATACCATTCCGCCAGAAATGGGAATCAGAATCCTATTCTTGCAAACCAAATAACTGGTATCATAATGGGCCATTCCAATTCTGATTCTAAAACACTATTCTTGCAAACCAAACAGGCCCTAAATGATGCCAAGAGAAACTCCATCTTGTCAATGCAAAAATTATCTATGAAATAAATCCAGTTAATTAATTGTAAACTGAACGAGCTATCTTCTCTTCATAGCTTGGTGGATCCTTCAGTTTTTTTGTGGAATCTTCCTGAAACAAGTTTTGTGAAGGTCAACAGTGATGACAGTTTTATCAGAACAAGGATGGGTGGTTATGGTTTTGTGATCAGATCTGACACTGGGTCTTTTTTGGATGGGAAATCAAGGCCTTGTAAAGCTACTTCTCCTTTATATGCTGAATTGTATGCAATTCATGAAAGTTGTGCTCCTTTTGCTACTTTGGGTCTAACTAATGTGATTCCAAGACAACTATCACTAACTTTTCTGCTGCTTCTTTCGACTGCCACCCAGATGTTTGACATATTTTGGATGATATTTACAGACTGTGTAGTAACTCCATAGTGTATTGAAAGAGAGGCTAACAAGCCAGCCCATTTGATAGCCAATTTGGGACTGACAAGTCAAGATACCTTGCATTGGTGGAGACTCCACCTTTAGAAATCCAGGATGCCATGTCTGTGGACTTTGATGCTTCTTCGTTTCGTCCTCCATAGGGAGAGGTTATTTCTTCTGTCTTTTTTTTTTTTTTGTGTGTGTGTGTTTTGTGGTTTCAGTCTCTTTGTTCCTTTTCAGTTGAATGAAATCTTTTATTTACCAAAAAAAAAAGAGCGAGCTATATTCAGCATCCATGTCAACCCTATTAACATGGAAACTATCAAACCATATGTATCGAGCACGATCACAATACCAAAATGCATGCAAAATAGATTTACTATCTTTACAACTTTGTCCCCTTCATTTTTGTCCAGCAACTGAATCACTCGGTGTAAAGGTTGTATAGGACCCAAAACTCGGAGATGTGAAATTGACCCTGGGCTGAACCTCATTCTCCCTGTTTTATTTGTATAGGCCTCGGTAAATGTGAAATTGATGATATCTCTTCTTTGTCTTCTTTTGAGTCAAAGTGTCAATGTTGGTCTTGAATTAACAAATTAGTGAAGATTGAGATGCCTACAACAGCATTGGATAAAGTTGTAAGCTTTGGAATTTGGATTTTAATCGGCCATTTCTAAGTGTCAATTTATAGCTTGGTCTGACTGACTATTTCAACCTGTTTTGTTGTTTTTTTTTGGGTGGACTGTCCCTAGCTAGCTCTTTTAAAGCCTTTCAATACGAGTCTTGTCACTTTTGCAGGAGATGATCTTTTGTGCACATGGGCTATTTTAATATTACCTCAATTGTACAACACTTGAATTACATCATTAAACGGTGGTCTTCTCATCCTTAAATATTAAAATTATTCAAGTTGGTAATTAAATAAATTAACCATTTATTAAATTGTTTATGTTAAATTACATTCACAATCCAACCAGAATGTTTTGATTGTAATAGTTACGTATTTGAATACTTTAAGACAAACCAGGATGTATGGGCTCTAGATGAAAGAATGCTTTGAAACTTAAAAGTAGACCTATACAGAAAACTGTAAAGTCATATTTGAAGAAAAATTCATAAAGTTGAAACTAAGCTTACATGAGTAAAAAATCAACTTTCTAATGAAGCTATTAAAACCCTCCAAACGAAATCTTATAAGAAATTAGAGACCCCAAAACCAATTATTTGAAGTTTATCTTGTCGATTTGTTAAATGCAACCCACTAAAGCTTAAACAGTTGAGGAATTTACATTGGCGCCTCACAACACATCCCAACTGTGTATTGGAAACATTTCCCAATGATAAGTACGAGAGATATTCTTAATAATACACACTGAGATGTGCATGTGAGGCGCTGATGTGATATCGCAGTTGAGACACTTTATAAATGGGTCCAAATACCAGCTCGAGTTTTTTAAAGGTCATTTATTTAAAACACCCCTATAATTTTATGAATTTATTAAAACCTACCCTATAATTTACATTTTATTAAAATATCCCCTATAATTTGCAATCAATTTGTTTAATTGAACTTCCGTAAGATAAAAGTGAAAAATGACAGTTTTGACACTAACATCCATTGGAATAAATTTAATCAAATGAAAATATCATTTTTGCCCCTAATAAGATAAATACAACCATTCCATTTGGCTGTATTTGGTCAATTTTATTTTCTATACAAAAAAATATCACGGATACTAAAAACAAGCATAAACCCATGCCCTTGAACATTTTTCACTCCGTATAAATGATCATGTTATTATTTTCAAGTGGTAAAACAAATAATTCTTAATAAAAGATAATTAAATAAATAGGTTGCAAATTATAGGAATGTATTTTGGTAGAACAAAAACTATAAATTAAGTTTAAGTAAATCCATAAAATTATAGGGGGTGTCTAAATTATCCCTTCTTTTAATCAATACTATCTTATTTGAAATGGATACATAACAGAACATACCCTACACTATTATTCACTCAAAAGTCAAAAACCACCTTCTCAAGATACAAAGTGATGCGATGATAAAAAATGCAAAGGCCAGAAGGGAAAGGACGTGATATTGCTTTTCTTTTTTCTTGTTATTGTTATTACTTATTAGCTTTTACACCTGTGGAGTTTTGGCTTTTGGGCTACCTAACTAGGCCAAGGCTTCTATAAAAAACAAGCCAAAAGGCTCCACAGATGTAAAAAGCCAATAACTAGCACTGTCACGTCGTTTTATTTCTCCAGTTTGTATTTATTAACACAACGACATCAACCCATTCAAAGATGGTCAAATACCATTCCCAAGCTTGAATCCTTCCACATATCTATAATACTAGACGTGTCAAGAGATTGGATTTACATGCTTGACTCATCAACCATCTGATTCTCTCTCCTTCCCATGCAAGGAAATATTTCCATATCTTGATATAAGATCCATTCCATCGTCAGAACAGCTGTTTATGTTTAGTGTAATAACTCAGTTTTGGTGGTGAGTGTGAAGTCGGTTGGCCCCTCTCACACTAAATCAGGTGTTTGTGTTTGCTTGAATTCCAAACAAAGTAAAATAAACAAACGAAATTGGATTTATGGAGTAATGAAAGGGACGTTCAAACAACAAAAGCAAAACCCACAAGAGGATTTGCTTTGGACATTGGAGTTTTGAGCTCCACTCATGGCCTCTCCTTTTTTATGCCATTTACTAATAATTGGTTAGAGGGATCTCTCCCATTCCGGTCCAGCCGGATGGAGGAAAAGAAAAGAATACCGTTTGTCTGCTGTTTTCTCGGTGTTTGATTTTGGAATCTATCTCCCGTTTTCTGTCTGACAGACAAACATTACAGTACACCACATTGCCATTGCCACTTCCTTTCTTTAATTTTCTTTCCTTCTTCAGGGCCGGCCAGCCCTTCTTCACCACCAAGAGAGGAGCCCCACACGGCACCACCCACAAAAGCAGAGGCAATTTCGTTTTGCCCTCTCTCATTTCTTTCCCCTCTTACTGTAGTTCCTTAAAACTGACGAAGGGAGGATAAGGTGGTTAGGGGGTGGGTTGATCAGACACAGAGAGAGAAGGAGAGTGAGACCCAGAAGGAGATATTGGAGATATTTGTTTTGATAAATGGGTTCTTCATCTGGGAACAATTATGATTATTCATTCAAAATCTTGTTGATCGGGGACTCTGGTGTCGGTAAGAGCAGTCTACTCGTCAGTTTCATCTCCAACCATGTTAATGATCTCTCCCCCACCATCGGTACGGTTTCGTTTTGTTAACAAAATAAAAATGCTTTTAAACTTAATGGATTCAAATTTCTATGGTTATCTACTATTTCTGCATGGAAGACTGATTTTTTCTTTTCTTTTCTTTTTTTTTTTTCTAAATCCAATTCTTGCATGAATTGGTGGTCTACTATTTTGTTTCCAAAGAGTAAAAACCCTCTTGTTGGGTGATGGGTGCATGATTTCTACAATAATTGTTAATAGTATAATCATAACAAGAAAAAGAAAAGATTTTTTTACTGTAGCAGTTGCAGAAAGGGCCAAATTTCCATACAGAAACTTTCATTCAATTTGTCAGGATTGACTAACCATTGGCTTTTCCTGATGTAGTCTCAATTTGATGCTAATTTGAGAAGCTTGAAAGATTGAGGTGCCCATAAGTACCGACTTTTCTGCCCATTTCTAAGTCCGATTCCATTTCCTAGTCTGTCACTTCAGTATTTCTAACCTACGGTATGTCTGGTCCAAATGTTGAGGGGGAAGTATACATGATTTGCGTCATTGGGTAACTTTTTTCTTTTTTCTTTTTCCAGTCTCGCAAATACTTTAAGAGTTTTGGTAAGAAATTTACAGTTTTGTGGAGAAGTTGAAAACCAGGGGGATAGTCTTTGGTTTCTTATTTTTCTGGTTTCGGGAATTCAGCATTCTGAAGTCTAATAACGTGAACTTCTTTTCAAACTGGGAGTCTTAATGATGGGTGATTGGCACTTACTGCACTCAGCTCTGTCTTTTTATATACTTACTGGAAAAGAGAAGTGAGTAGTGCAAACTGATTAAGAAATAAGAAAACCTTTTCAACCTCTACATTGGTAATTGGTAAGAGGCCAGTATTCTTATTTTCAAAGGATATGGGATCGAAAGGAAGAAAGTTATACACAAGTTCTAGTCTGTCAGGACTCTGGAGTGAAGCTATAAAATGTGCATATGGTATTGTTAAGTAGAGGGTAACCATTAACCATGCTTACATGACTCAAGAAGCACTCTGTGGCACATGGGTGTTATGTGTATCTGGTAACTTTGTTTGTTTTTGTATTGGGTTCAAAACGTGTTCCACTCCTTAAGTGACTAGAACAGGAAATTGGTTGAACATCCTAGGTTAATTAGTAGCCATAAACAAAAAATTGAAAAGGAAAAAGAGACAATAAATGAGGACTTCATTGGAAATTTCTTACAGCCCAGTGTCTTTACGCCATGGCGTGTTTGATGGGAAGGATACTTTAAGGTCGACATGTCAAGTACTCTAGTGTATCCTTTGGTCATATTACAATTGGAAGAAGCTTGATTTAGTGTTTGCTATTTTTTTCTTATCTCAATGAGAATTCTTGTTTTCCTTCTGAAAATATCTTCTACTTCTTTGTAGTTCTTGTGAGTAGTGGGATAACAAATGATGTGGCTAGAAAGTGATAATCCCTCTTAGATGGGCTGGGTTGTCTGTTGCTTCCGTTGTTGTGTTTCTCTGTTCGTCCTATGAGAGATAAAGACATGTGGTTAATCTCTGTCTGACTTGCTTTGCAAAGTAGGGGTGCAACTTTTCTGGATTAGGGTTGGAATTTTGTCAAAGTTTCAATGGGCCCAACCCAAAGCCTGGGCCCGAAACAGTGTAAACTATTAGCTCGGACCAACCCGATTTGCACCCTTATTGCAAAGTACTGCTTGATCTTCACAGTGAAGATCCATGTTTCTTTATATTATGGTGCAAATAGAAAAGCACAGAGGAGAATGTAACAGATGATTTTCTCAAGAAAAAAACAAAAAGAATGTAACAGATGATCTGATCTCCTCTTGGGTTATTAAGATGGCTTTCATGTCTCAATGGGTAGGTCTCTCTGCATAGTATCCCGTTGGATATGTATGGTATTAGATGTTAGGTTGTTTAAAGAGCTCTGAACTAATATATGACATTAACAGCTACAGAAATCCTGCATGCAACATTTGAAGGTCTACTGCTACTTTGTTGCTTGATTTTCACTGCCAAAGGGATTGACATTACTTCTGAAGAAACCAGCCCTTTTTTATGTTAAACTTCTGCTGATTTATTATTCTCCCTAGTTAATCACTATGGATTTCCATCAAAAGAAAGTTAATTGCTATGAATATTAGCTCCATTTTCTGGACAAAATGTGAACATGCACAAAAGTTAAAAAAATGTGAATGGTCAAAATGTTTTCTTTTTCTGAAAACAATAGTCTCAATAGGATAAACATGTTCTTGAATTTAAGTATATCAATGTTTTTTCCTTTCTTTTTCTCAAAGTAATAGTTTCAATAGAATAAAAATAGTTTTCTCTCTTCATTATCTCCCCTTCATAGTGTAAACTTTTATTTTGTAACTGATTATTATATAACCAAGTCTTTTTGTGATTGTATTTTTGCTTATCTGCCTGATTTTCCATTGAGATTTTCATCTTGTGCAAACCATGTCCAGGTGTGGATTTTAAGATCAAGATGCTCACAATTGATGGGAAAAGATTGAAGCTGACAATATGGGACACAGGTAATGGATGAAAGTAATTACTTTATCCACAGTTAGTTCAGTTCAATGGCTATTTGTAGCAGCTAATTGAAAGAATGGTAGGATCCATCTAATGGACGCCATAAAGGTTGCGGAATGGGTGGGGCG